GCTTAACCATCTGAGCCACCCAGGCGCCCCTGGGCGGTTCTTCACAAGATGGATTTTACCCCCTTTAGTTGATATGCCTACTGTTTCTCAAAAGGCAAGACAACTTCCGGAATTTCTATCAGGTGTTTTTCTTTGATATTCCAGCAATAATTTCCCTTCAGTACAGCCTCTGCTAACATATGCTTCGAGGTATAATGCACGCATTTAAAATATTCCCAACCTGGTTTGTGTAATTTCATTTTACTGGCAACCATAGCCCCTTATTTTTTGCCAATCCCTAACCCTCCTTTATTCCTTTCTAGATGTAATTCAAAACTGCTACACTCTTTAGTAGAATACAACAAATAGAATTTTGGAATTTGATAAGGCCCAGAAGAGTGACTGACTACAGGGACTACCTTAATTAGTGACAGTCATCTGGGAGACAGGATTAGATTAACTTCCATCATAGCACTTACTACATTGCATCACAACTTCCTATTTACTGATGTGTCTCAGTAGACTAATTCTGAGTTCAGAGACCAGGTATATTCATCTCTGTATGTCCAGGTCCTAGCATTGTGTCTGGCATGTAGGTTGTTGAATGAAGAATTCCGATCCCCTTACTCCTGGCTTTGAGTCCAGGTTCCTGCTTATCCCATATAGATATGGGTGGGCACCAAGATAAAGTCCCAAGGCCTGAAAATCCAAGAGAATGGCTGTGAAGTCTGCAGTCTACATGTAGAAAAAGTTAAATGCTTGTGATGATCCCAGAATCATTCTGGGATGAGGGAGGACTTGGAATTGTGGAGCAGGGATGTTGGGCAGTTACTAAAGTCATCTGTATACAACTCAAATGTCCCCAGGACTCACTACCCTGTAGATACAAATGATGTCTTAACAGGCAAATTTCACTGACTCTGTAGCTGCCTTCTTTGCTTCTTTTGTTAATTTTGGGACCCTCATTTGTAAGGTTCCCTTTGCCATCTAGTAGTACCTCGGGAAGTCCCCACACCTTTGGTGACTGCTCACACTGTTGCTGCTATTCCATCTCAGCTCCCTAGACTCTACCTTCTGTCACACTCTGCTTCTCCAAGGCCCCAGGTCTTACTTTTTATCACTAGGGAAATACTCTCCTTACTCTGTGATCTGACCTTTTTGAGGGGTCTCAGAACAACGCCAAGCCAAAAGGTGTTATGAGGTTTGCTTGGATTATTGTTTAAATACAGCTCTCTCTTTCCCAGCATGTGCCTTTGCCACCAGAGTAAAGGCATCAAGGAAGGATTTCAGTATAGTCACCCTGCCTGGAAACACCATTCTCCTACCCTCAGCCCTTGTTGCTGAGTTCTGCTCATAGAACTCACTAACTTTTTCTTCCATTGTGAACTTTCTCTCAGGAGCTGAAAGTTTCCTTTTCCCTGCTACGTTCACCAGATACTGCCCTTGCTACATATATTACAGTTTCTTGTATTATATATGACATAAACTGTTTTCATAGTTAGAATGAATTTTTAGAACTTTTAAGGACTATTCATCCCACAAAGCGTAACTCAAATTTTATCTCCATGAAGATTCCCATTTGCATTAGATGGAAATTTCTTCCTCTTCTGAACTCCAAATCTCCATTGTCTGTATGAGTAATTGGCCTTATGATTAAGGCCTCATGTCACCTTAATCACCTTCTGCCTATGAAGCCTCTCATATTGTTATTTACTTTATCATCTCAACTACAGAGCCCTTTGAGGCTAGGGAGTCTGTTGTAAACATTTTCTTATCTCCTACTGTTTGTGCACAGTAGATGCTCAAGAAGTATTTGATAAATATTAAATGATTTGTAGTTGTATCCCTCTGCCTTACCCACAGCACCTTATCTCTGGATGCAGTAGGAGTATCTTAAGTGATGGCATATTTAGATGCATGGGAAGATGGATTTTTGTGTACTTCTGGGCGTTCTTGTTTGTGGTCAGTGTAGGGATCAAGGGTAGGGAACTATCCTCTCTGGAGCTGAACCAAAGAAGCCCATTAAATTGTTTTTCTCTTGGGAATCTCAGGCTGAGAGACAGAGCCTGACAGTCTCTGGAAATGTACACAGCACTCCAGAGCAGTCCAAACTTCTTCTTGAGGTTCCTGGAGTTGCCCTACTTTCTATCCCTCTAACTGCTAGGAAATTTGTTTAGATTCTTCGAGATGCCCTTATATGCTTCTACTAAGTTCTTTTGCTTAAACTAGCTAGAAGTTTCTGTTCTTGGCAACTAGGAGAACCTGACTACCACAGTAAAATAAAGTGGGACACTGATGACGTCACACAGAGAATACTCTCCAGATAAAGAAAGGAAAAGCATTACTTGTGTTACCCATGTATCCCACTTCATTCAAATAAACTATTGTTTTCTTTTTTTTCTAAGAAAAGTATGGCCTTTAGCGCTTTGAGGAGGAAAGGTAAGTGGGGACCTAGCTAGTGTTTTTTTTGGTTTTTTGTTTTGTTTTAAAAGATTTTATTTATTCATTTATTTGAGAGAGAGAGAGTATGTAAGTGGGGGGGGCATGGTTAGGAAGAGGGAGAGGCAGAGAATCTCAAGTAGACTCCACAGTGAGCACAGAGCCCAACATGGGGCTCAATCTCATGATCCTGAGATCGTGACCTGAGCCGAAACCAAGAGTCAGACGCTCAACTGACTGAGCCACTCAGGTACCCCAGGACCTAGCCAGTGTTAACAACAAAAAACAACAACCTTCAAAAGTTATGGGGATAAAAATTATTTCCAAAAACATACATTTTTCATATTGTTACACACCATCCTCATACCGCCTACACTGAGGTAAACAGATAAGTATAAAATCTGAATAACATTTCCTGAATTTAAATACAAAGATGACCTTATTGACTATTCAAAGAGCAGATAAGAATCTGCATTGATCCCACTTTTACAGTCTTATCCAGTCCCCCTTAGGAGCCAATGGCTAGTCTATCTATAAAGAGGATCTAGTCAAGTCAACTGCCTCCATCCATCCATCCATCCATCCATCCATCCACCTATCCATTCTTCCAATAATTCTTTGTATCTACTCTATGCGAGGCACTGTACTGGGTAATAGAGACATCAAGATGTGTAAAACATGATTCCCACCCATCAAGAAGCCCACAGAACAGTAGCAGAAATAGTCAAATAACTACAGTGCAATGTGATGTTACATAACAGGCATGAGCAAAGTTTTATGATAGCCCCTAACTGCCCAGAGGAATGAAAGAAAAGATTCAGAGATGAGATGCTTGAGCTGGAACTTGAAGCAAAATGGGAAATTCCCAGGGAAATGCAGTTTCAGCTCCTAATCCAAAGGATAGAAAATTCTGTTTCTAGTTTAGTGACAGGAAAATTAAAACACAGAAAGAGAACATCTACTGGGGCCTCATATTGACAAGGCAAAACTACAGTACAACTCAGAAATCCAGACTGCTTACCGCTAGACTTCTAGCACCTAAAGACATGGTCCCCATTAATTTTTAATACTCAGAAACAAAACATCTAACTTTCAATGTCTGCCTTATTCTACGCAATGATCTTACCAAGGATATTCAACTCCTCTAAAAAGTCCTTAGACTTAAACTTTTGTGGAAGGAAGTTTAAAAAGCCAAATACATTTCTCACTAATGGAATAAAATCCCTGATTTTATATGACTGAACCTTACATTTACTAATTTTGAAACCAACTAATACTGAACAGTTCTTAAGCAAAGGAAAAGAGTTGATTTCAATGTGAAAAAGTTGGGCCTAAGGGACGAAGTTGGTTCTGAGTCACCAGACTCTGTGGGTTTTCATCTAAAAAGTTTTCTTCATTTTTGACTGTGCTAGGGAGTGCATCCTGAGAGATTAAATTACTATCCAAATGTGTTTTTCAAAAAGGGAAAAGAGGGGAAAGGAGGTACTCCAACATGGATTTGCACTGAAGTATCTCCAACATAAGTAAGTGCTCAAGTTGGATGGTCTAAACTCCCAGTGTAACATTTCATAGGTGAAGACTCCTTGAGGTCCCTGCACACCTTTGAGGATATGGACTGCTGCCAATTTAAAGAGGAAAAATGTTAAGGGTGTGCAAGGAGTGAGGAAGGACTGCTGTTTTATGCACAGTTCCTTTCAAAAATGAGGACTACTTCCTACATTTATTAAGAGGTTTTTGTCTTTTTTTGTTTTTTAAAGAGAGACAATAAAAACAAGTGTGTGAAGGCACAAAAGGGGAACTTGAAATCCAATTGCAATAATTACTCAGGCAATTGGCCCCTTTCTCTGTAGCATTACAGAAACCTCCTGAGTACCAAAAGCCTATGCTTTTACAAAAGAGAACTGCCCCATCATTGCATGGTACAACTACTGCTTCCTTAGACCTTTCAGGAAATGATCCCCAAGTGTTTTTCACAAACCCTATAGGGCTTCCTACAGTAAAATACAGTGACAGAGATCAAACCTAGAATAACTGCAGAACTGCGGTGATGAGCTGTACTAGTTCCAAATGATTAATTTTCTGCTCCAAATAATGGGACAAAGTATCATCCCACAGATACAGTCAGTTTCACGGTGATGGAGATTCATGTATGGATCATCTGAGGCACAAGCTGTGATTGGTCTTAAGAAAATAAAAAGTAGAACTGGGTTAAAAACCCACATCTCATGATTTCTGGTCCTTATTCAGCCAAAGCATTGAGCTGCTTCAGGTCTGTATCATACACATTTTGGATCTTTCTCAGGAGTTGCTCTGGGTGCAGCATGATAAGGAAAACCAGATATTTGGCTTGATAACAGTATTCAAGGTATAGGTGCCGCACTCATGGTAAGCTTCTCACCACAGGATATCTGAGAGCTGCTGCCAGAGAGGGCTGTGGTCCGCTGATGATGACTAGAGTTCAGTTTTCAAAATTTTGGGAATAATCTGATCATAGCCTTTCCTTCTTGTTACATTATAGGATAGGAATTTAGAGTATTCAGTCAACAGGCTCTCCCAGTAACAGGTGACGTCTTCCATCTGCAAGTGGTTCATAATAAACTGGCTTCCCCTAGAGACAAGATTAACAAGAACATTTAAAGCAGAGCATTTAATAATACTAATAGCTTACATGTGACTGCTTACCTTGTGGTAAGCACTGTTCAGAATGCTTATGCTTTATATGAATTAACTCTTGATTCTGAGCCAACCCTATAGCCATCCTAGCCACATACATGCACTTAGCAATAAAACTTAATATATTTTTCTTTTTAAAAAAATTTTTTGACAGAGAGAGACACAGCGAGAGAGGAAACACAAGCAGGGGGAGTGGGAGAGGGAGAAGCAGGCTCCCTACGGAGCAGGGAGCCCAATGCGGACCTCGATCCCAGGGCCCTGGGACCATGACCTGAGCCGAAGGCAGACGCTTAACAACTGAGCCACCCAGGTGCCCAAAATTTAATATTTTTTTCGTAAAAAACAAACACATAAGCAGTGAATGCTCAGAAATTCTGTACATGTTTAATTACCTCAAAGATTTCAGTCTACTTCTATAAAGGATGGGCCTGGGATATATGTGAATGTGTGTTTTCCTCCTGGACAGCTTTAATTCTGATTATCTCTGTATAGTGAGGATGAAATCCAGATATCACCATGATAACAATATTCATATACCTTTAGCTGGGGCAAAACGGGGATGAAAAGGAAAAATGAACAGAGCTTACCTTTCAGCAATTTCTTGAGCCACATCATCATTTGCTTTTACAAAATGCAACAACTCCCTAAAATTGAAAGAATTATTAGACTCTAAAATACAGACCAAACTAAGAAAGAAAGACCATATATATACTGGCACAAAAATAGACAAATAGATCAATGGAACAGAATAGAGAACCCAGAAATGGACTCACAACTATATAGTCAACTAATCTTCAACAAAGCAGGAAAGAATATCTAATGGAAAAAAAGACAGTCTCTTCAACAAATGGTGTTGGGAAAACTGGACAGCAACATGCAGAAGAATGAAACTGGACCACTTCCTTACACCAGACACAAAAATAAATTCAAAATGGATGAAAGACTTAAATCTGAGACAGGAATCTATCCAAATCCTAGAGGGGAACACAGGCAGTAAACTCTGACCTTGGCTGTAGCAACAGCCATATTATTAGACATGTCACCAGAGGCAAGGGAAACAAAAGCAAAAATGAACTGTTTTGTCTTTATCAAGATAAAAAGCATCTGCACAGCAAAGGAAACCATTAACAAAAATAAAAGGAATGGGAGAAGATATTTGCAAATGACATATCTGATAAAGGGTTAGTATCCAAAATCTATAAAGAACTTACCAAACTCAACACCCAAAAAACAAATAATCAAATTAAGAAATGGGCAGAAGACACGAATAGACACTTTTCCAAAGAAGACATCCAGATGGCTAACAGACACATGCAAAAATGCTCAACATCACTCATCACCAGGGAAATACAAATCAAACCCATGATAAGATGCCACCTCACACCTGTCAGAATGGGTAAAATTAACAACACAAGAAACACTAGGTATTGGTGAAGATGTGGAGAAAGGGGAACCCTCTTGCATTGCTGGTGGGAATGCAAACTGGTGCAACCACTCTGGAGAACAGTCCGGAGGTTCCTCAAAAAGTTAAAAACAGAACTACCCTATATCCTAGCAATTGCACCACTAGATATTTACCCAAAGGATAAAAAAAATACAGATTCAAAGGGGTACATGCACCCTGATGTTTATAGCAGCCTTATCCACAATAGCCAACCTATGGGGACAGCCCAAATGTCCATCAACTGAAGAATGGATAAAGAAGTCGTGGTATATATACACAATGGAATATTATTCAGCCATCATAAAGAATGAAATCTTGCCATTTATAACAATGTGGATGGAGCTAGACTGTATTATGCTAAGTGAAATAAGTCAGTTGGAGAAAGAAAAACACCATATGATCTCACTCATATGTAGAATTTAAAAAGAAAACAGATGAACATATGGGAAGGGGGGAAAGTAAAAAAGGAGAGAGGGAAAACAAACCATAAGGGACTCTTAATGACAGAGAACAAAAAGGGTTGATGGAGGGAGGTGGGTGGGGGATGGGCTAGACAGGTGATGGGTATTAAGGAGGGCACTTGTTGTGATGAGCACTGGGTGTTGTATGTAAGTGAGGAATCACCGAATTCTACTCCAGAAACCAATATTGCACTAAATTTTGTTAACTAATAAAATTTAAATAGATAAAAAAATAAAAATAAAAACAGTTCCTTAAATGTGAAAAGAAAAAAGAAAGAAAGACCATAGACTGAGATCTATGGTTAATCTCTAGATAGGTGGATAATGGATTATTTCTTTTTTAAAGCACAGATATTAGAGTCCTCACAAGACCAAAACAACAACAAAAGCCCACACACAGGCTGAAGGCAACCTGTTGTAGATGTGGGACATATGTGAGAAAATAGAGAAATGTTCAATGATACACATCAAATATCAACAATGAAGAAAAATTTCCTTTCTATCTCCTGCTCCTGCCCCCAGAAAAGGGCACTGGGCTTATGTTTCTGGCCCCTTTCCATATCTCTTCTTAGTTTCTATCATGTGAGAAAATCTGCCTCAGCTTCAGTGGGGTCAGTTCTCATGTTGTATCTGAAAGTCCCTTTGACAATATAACAACATCTAATATCCTTATCTTTAGTCTTTGAGAGATAAGAGCTTTTCTACTGTGTATTATCTGAATGTTACATTTTAAACTAGCTTTAGAGCACTTTTTCAAATTAAATCTCACTTACAGCCTAGTTGAATAGTGACATTATATATGCAAACCATGTAAGGAGAAAAAGCTGTCAAGGGAAAGAGTCATGAGTAGTATATGTCTTAAATGGCTGGGGTCTTAGAGGCAGATTGTGGGAATCATTAGGCACTCTGCTTGGGGGAGAGCCACTCACTGGACATTGGAGAGATCTGTTTTGACTGGGATATAGTGAATCCACGGCTTCAGTTGTGGATAGAAGAATTCCAGCCACTCATCACCAACATGGAAAACAAGTGAACCACACAGGAAGAGGTGTTTGAACCGGAAACTTGCAGCTACACCTCGAAAATTAAACAGATACCTGGGAAAGAAAGAGCAAAATATACCTGATACTATAAGTCTGCTGCCACAAATATCTTTTTCTTCTTATTCCCTCCTCTCCTTCTCTCCTTTTATGACCCCTCTCCCCTCCCTTTCTATTTTCAGCTTTCCAGGACACATCCACATATCCCTGTGGGATTCCAGGGGCTACTGACTGTTCCAGGGAATGTCAGGGTGAGGCAGGAAGGAGGATTCTTTCTCCAGACAGAGCTAGATAGGGCCACGAGCTGGGTGCTAGACAGAGATACAAGGCTCAGATGGAGACAGTAGCTTATGCTTTCCTATAAGCTTTCCTGGGCCTAATGTTTCTAATGAGTCATGGCTCCCCAAAACCTTGTTTTTCCCATAAGGTACCCCACCAAAGCCTCTGTTGGTCCCTGTTCCCTCTTCTTCTGAAGTTGGGAGAAGAGAACCAGGCATACATAATCAATCTTCAAAGAAATACCCTCTGAAAAAAAGCCATGTTAGAACATTTTCTTTTCAGCATTTCTTATGCACCCCTGTCTCCAACTAGAGTTGCTTCTACCTTATACTTGCCACTGTGCAGTGTAATCAGTATTCACCTCTCTGAATCCCTCTACTTCCTCCTCCTGACCTGGTTTTACCTGTTCACCTAATCCTTAGTCCTAGCATTGAATTATAATATTTTAGTTACATATACTTTATTCATTTTCAAACATAAACCCTTCTTTACCTGATAAATACTTCATCTAACTTCAGCTCTTGGCTGGATGGGGTGTGGAGAGAGGGAGTCCCACCACTTTGCTTACTAGCAGCAAGGTCTATGGAGGCAGGGACCATTATTGTCTTTGCAATTCCCGCAGAACTCAGGTGAGAGCCTTGTGCACACAGCATGGTCTCAGTAAACAACAACCAAATGAATGAACAGGACTTTCATAAACCCCAGCAGGGCCCTAGTATTGAAGTTCTGCCCCAAAGTGAAGCTATTCTGAATGCAACAGGGAAGCCAAAAGTCAGGAATCCTGGAAGCCTTACTTGTATTTGCAGTGATCCACAAGATGGACATCCTTAGCAGCTGGCTTCCCCAAAGTATCCTTTAAGCGAAAAGGAAGCTGTTAGTATTGAGAGTGGTAGTATTTATTGAAGACCACTGTGCAGCAAGCATTACTGAGCATTCCATAAACATGACCTCATTTCAGTGTCCTGAATAAATCCATTCAGAGATGTTATCTCATTTTATAGATGAAGAAGCCATGACCTTGAAAAGTTGGGAGACTTGTTCAGGGGCATGTGGGCCTAAGGAGAAGAGCAAGGACCTGTCTGATTTTAGAGTTTAAGCTCCCAGGGCCATGTGGATCCTTCTCTGAACTTAGAGGTCCTAACCTACAGCATGTTTCACTCTGTGTAAATTATACATAGAGGATATTACAGGTGGTGGCTGGTGGGCTTAGAGGTGTAACCCACACACAGATTCTGTTGGGGATGCAAAGTATTTAAAAATAAAAATTCAAACCATTGCCAACATTCACAGGTGGTAAGATATTTCTTACAAAAATCCAGATTTCCAAGTTTTCTTATAAAGAAAAAGGAAGGTCTGGTAAACTCGGCTTCTATTCCCTTGGCAGAAATGACCGGACATTTAGTGCTCTTTCTTGCTCATGCCTGTGGCCCCCAGGGGCATTTCAGTTTGAGACCCCCATCTATATTCCAGCTACCCTGCCAGATGGTAAACGTCTTAATGAGGGAAATTAGTCTGGTTTGCTTTCGTAGCTTCCCACAGTATAGGCTGTGCTGAATGGATACATTTTTCATATTTTTATTTTTCAACAAAGTTTCTTAGACTTTTGCTCCTGTTCGATTAAAACTATCAAAATAATGCATCTCAGATACGCTTAGTTTTCCCACAAGAAGTCTAAAACTTTTTTTCTTATCATCCTCATGTGGTATATGGAAATTTCAAAAGAGGATATTTAGGCCTTAAAGTTCTTTGAATATGGCAAGAAGTCACACAGTTAAGAAGACAGAGATGAACCCCAACCTGAAGGAGCCAGTCATTGCTCACTTCACCTTACAGTTCACCTCTCTGAATCCCCCCACTTCCTCCTCCCGACCTGGTTTTACCTGTTCACCTAATCCTTAGTCCTGGCATTCAATTATAATATTTCAGTTACATATGTTTTATTCATTTTGAAACATAAATCCTTATTTTCAAACAAATGAAGATGCCTGGACCCCATCCCCAGAGACTCTGATTCATTTGATTCATTTTTTTTAAAGCTCTCTGATTGGATTGTATAGTTAGAGTTAAGAACCACTGGTTTAAACCAGGGGTTGGCAAATTACAGCCCATAGGCCAAATCTGGACCACTGCTTGTTTTTGTATACAACCCACAAACTAAGAATATTTTAGGTTTCAAATGCTTGAAAAATATCCAAAGAAGAATATTTATGACATGTGGAAATTACATGAAATTCAAATTTCTGTGCCATAAATAAAGTTTTATTAGGACACAGCCTGGCTCATTCATTTACATATTGTCTGTGACTGCTTTCCCCTGTGATGGCAGCTGAGCAACTACAAGACCATACAATTCACAAAGCCTAAAATATTTACCATTTAGCCCTTTCCATAAAAAGTTGGTGTCCTCTGGTTTAAACCTTCAAAGTGGTAAAAAATACTACTCATAATATGGCCCAGAAAACCAATGTGAGTTTGAAAAAGAGTAATTTACATATATGCTAATACTAGTTTGTGGAACTTTCTCTATATCCATCTACCACTGACAGGAAACTTAATCTGGAATTCTACCCAGGTGGCAATGTTCTTTGAATGCGAACGTGCACTGCTATGGTTCTAGTCAGATGATTGGTGATTACTTTCATAGATTTCCAGGCCTGGTTTTTGGTGTATTCTGCGTCAACAAGTTTTGGATTTTTCCGAGATAGAAGAATGAGAGGGTCTCGTTCTGGACTTGTCCTAGAAAAGAAACATGTGACATAAAACAATGTGTCCCACACCATAATACTGTTCCCAATATCTGAAAGGTAAGCAGTGCAATGACCATACACAGAGACGTATAACTTACTGGTTATTTTCACAGCAGAGGAGGGGCTTACTGGGCCCTGAGGCATACAGGTGTTCCCGGCTGTTCCCTACTCTACCCTGCAGGGATGGGGAATATTGGGCCCTTTTGTGCTTGCATCTAATCTTTAAGATTACGTTTCTCTGGGCACTACAGACATATCCCAAGGAATGAGTTCCCTTTTAGCAGAGTTCATGTAGCCTCTATAATCATTAGTACTCACAGCTCTGTGACTAGGTAATCACCCCTCCCCAAAATAGCTACATGACCTTTGTTGTCTGTGTTCTGTACAGTCCAGCACAATATTTAAATTAAAAAGAAAGCTAAAGGGCTTAAAAACCTGAAGATTATATGTAGAAAAAGTCCAAGTTATGGTTCAAGTAGCAGACGGTCTTGACATTTGAGGGGTCCTAGACTCCCTGTGGCCTGCTCTCTAGAAAAGTGCCCATATCCCCATATAATTTAGAGGAAGTCCTAGAACTCTTCAAGTCCACACACAGGTCCCAAGTTAAGAAGCTGTGATCTCCAGATCTGAGAATCAGAGAAGCTGGTAAGGACCAGTAAGCAGTGGCTGCTGGGCCTGTCTGCATTCTCAAGTTCACGGCCCAAGTAAATAGAAGGTGTGATCTCCGACAAGAACTGACCAGGAAAACGACTAAACCCTTCTCCCTGTTCTGTTCATCTGTACAGCAAATATTCATCATGTATCTGCATGCTAGGTACTGTTCTTGGCACCGGGGATGTAGGTCTGAGCAACATGGAGAGAGAGGGTCCTTGCCCAACATTTCCCTCTCCCTCCTCTTCTTCTTCTTCCCTGCTTCCCTTTCCATTTCCACCAGTCTCAGTCTGTGCTTTCCACCACTATTTGGCAGCCACATGGCCTCATGAAAAAGGCAGTCAGGATATCTGGTAATGGATGCTGCTCTGCCATTAACTAGCAGTGACTAGCAGAGAGCCAGGTCAGAAGCTCCCTGTAGAAAACTATAATCTCTTAGGCAAGAGGACAAGTCAGGTGTTCTCTTCAATATATATTCAATGCCTAACACACTCAAGGCACTCTGTTAATACCTGTTGAATGACTAGATGAATGAATTTTACTTCTTTCAATTTCAGTTCAATTAAGAGTGATTTGGGCGAGATCCTGCGCCCGAGGAGACACACGCAGCTAACATTGTCTTCTTTGCGCGACTCTCCCCGCGGGTTCTCTCTGGGCACAATGGCAACTCTTAAGGAAAAACTGATTGCACCAGTTGCAGAAGAAGAGGCAACCATCCCAAACAATAAGATCACTGTAGTGGGTGTTGGACAAGTTGGTATGGCGTGTGCCATCAGCATTCTGGGAAAGTCTCTGGCTGATGAACTTGCCCTTGTGGATGTTTTAGAAGATAAACTCAAAGGAGAAATGATGGATCTGCAACATGGGAGCTTATTTCTTCAAACACCTAAAATTGTGGCAGATAAAGATTACTCTGTGACTGCCAATTCTAAGATTGTGGTGGTGACTGCAGGAGTCCGCCAGCAGGAAGGAGAGAGCCGGCTCAATCTGGTGCAGAGGAATGTTAATGTCTTCAGATTCATTATTCCGCAGATAGTCAAGTACAGTCCTGATTGTATCATAATTGTGGTTTCCAACCCAGTGGATATTCTCACATATGTTACCTGGAAACTAAGTGGACTACCCAAGCACCGTGTAATTGGAAGTGGGTGTAATCTGGATTCTGCTAGATTTCGCTATCTCATGGCTGAAAAACTTGGCATTCATCCCAGCAGCTGCCATGGATGGATTTTGGGAGAACATGGCAATTCAAGTGTGGCTGTGTGGAGTGGAGTGAATGTGGCAGGCGTTTCTCTTCAGGAACTGAATCCAGAAATGGGAACAGACAACGACAGTGAAAATTGGAAGGAAGTGCATAAGATGGTTGTGGAAAGTGCCTACGAAGTCATCAAGCTAAAAGGATATACCAACTGGGCTATTGGATTAAGTGTGGCTGATCTCATTGAATCCATGTTGAAAAATCTATCCAGGATTCATCCAGTGTCAACAATGGTGAAGGGGATGTATGGCATTGAGAACGAAGTCTTCCTGAGCCTTCCATGTATCCTGAATGCTCGGGGCTTAACCAGTGTGATCAACCAGAAGCTGAAGGATGATGAGGTTGCCCAGCTCAAGAAAAGTGCAGATACCTTGTGGGACATCCAGAAAGACCTAAAAGATCTGTGACTTCTGGCTTCTAGGCTGTAGAAATTTAAAACTATGATGTGATTAACTGTGAGCCTTTAGTTTTTCATCCATATACATGGATCACAGTTTGCTTTTATCTTCCTAAATAGATGAATCTGGGCTCACAAAATCAAAGCCCATGCTTGGTTTAATGCTTGCAATATGAGCCCTTGAACAAATAAAATTAACTATTGCAGTGTGAAAAAAAAAAAAAAGAGTGATTTGGGCAAGGGGCGCCTGGGTGGCTCAGTCAGTTAAGCATCTGACTCTTGATTTCGGCTCAGGTCATGATCTCAGGGTCGTGAGATCAAGCCCTGAGTCAGGCTCCAGGCTGGGCATGAAGCCTTAAGATTCTCTCTCTCTCCTCCCCTGCTCACACATATGCGCTCTCTTCAAAAAAAAGAGTGATTTGGGCAAATAATTTGAGTTCTTCTCTAGTCTAAAATTCTATGATTCTACATTTACTTCTTAGTTATCCTAGCTTTCTCCTTGAACTACAGTTCTTCACACCCTCAAAATTATTTGTATCTTACAAATATCTTCGTAAATTATCAGAAAATATAGTCACCTTGATCCTCGGAAATATGCTGTAGAATTTTTCTTTTTCCATGGCCACTGTGCTGCTGACCTAAAATTAGATTTCAGTTAGTTTCTATGTTTTTCTCTGAACTATATGAGGATGTGTTTTAACCAGTTCTGAAGATTAGCTCAGAACTTCACATTTTTAAATAACTCTGACCCAGGCTCTCAAAAGAAAAAGCCCTCAATGACATTATATTCCCTTTTGTTGTTACTTCACTTCTTTGGAGGTGCTAGCCAATAATATCTACAATCCATTGCTCCACTAATAAGTTAACAACACTGAAAGAAAAGTTCCCAGGGTACCTACGTGGCTCAGTCAGTTAAGCATCTGACTCTTGATTTCAACTCAGGTCATGATCTCAGGGTCCTGAGACTGAGCCCCACATCAGGCTCCTCATTCAGCAGGGAGTTGGCTTGAGATTCTCTCTCCCTCTGTCCCTTCCCCTGCTTAGGCACGTGCACATGCACTCTCTCTCTAAATAAATAAATAAAATCTAAAAAAAAAATTCCCAAGTTCTAAATGACATGTTTAGAGCTGTTAAATGCAATACAATGAGGATTTCTTCTCTACTTTAACTAGAGTGCTGCTACTGATAAATTTAATAGGCAAAGAGAACTGCAGAAAATATCAGAAATTGAATTAAAGGTAAGAAAACAAATCACTCCTTGACTTCATTTTTTGGATGCACAGGCAGTATCACCAGAAATTTGTCTGATGTTGCAAAGCATCCTGATATTCTTGAGACTGTACTAAGTGCTCCGTCAAAATCCCTGAAACTCAGGTCTCAGTACACATTACCATGACCAGCTTTCCTTGCTGAAACTGCTAGCTCACAGATGCATCATTCTTAACTTCCTTCGTAGGAAACCTGCACAGAAGTTGCACAGTGTCTTCCTCTGAAAAAGGAGGGGAAGGGCTGAACTGGAGTTAATGAGGGAATGGGGGGCTGTTTACCATAATGGAGAGACTTAGGATATAAACTTGTTAAGTAGAGATACTTTTAGATACATAAATGTCACATTACTCATTTTCTCTCAGCTGAGAGCATTGCTTATTTTCCTGGCCTATCTTATAGCTCTTTCTTGCTGGACCATCTTTACTGGATTCTCCAATCCAAGGCCAGAACTATCTATCACTGTGCTCCATATGCCCTCCCACCAAAAAAGAAACACCATAACCCTGGGTTATTTTTGTTTTATGAGATTTTTTTTAGTGGAAAAAATGATATATCCTCATTATAGAAAATTCTAATGGAAAAGCATAAAGTAAAAGTAGAAAAAAATCATCTGGAACCTTCCCAATCCCACTTTTAGCAATTTAACGTTTCTGTGAAGAATTTCCTTCCAGTCATTTCTCCGTATCAGTAGTTCTCTGCTGGTGGTGATTTTGCCCCTTTCACCCAGAAGACATTTGGCCATGACTATAGACATTTTTGAATGTCACTACTGGGGGACTGCTACTGGCATTTAGTGACATTAAGACCAAGGATGCTAAATATCCTGCAATGCCCAGGGAAGCCCCCTACAACAAAGAATGATCCAGCCCGAAATTCAGTACTACCAATATTGAGAAACCTTGCTCTATATAACAGAGATCATATATATATATATATACACACACACACACACACTCATTCTCACAAACTCTTGAAGTGGGTTTTATTATCCTTACTTTATAGTTGAGGTTCTCGAGAGGCTAAGCAGTTTGCCCAGAGTCACACAGCTAATAAGAGCCAGAGTTTGAACCCAGAGTCCCTTTACTTTGCACTCATGCACAATATTCCATTTTACAGCCATGTCATAATTCACTTCATTACTTATTCATGGGCTTTTAAGAAGTTTCCAACTTTCTGCTTTAAGAAACAACACTGTAGTGAACATCTTTGTGTACACATCTTTACATACTTGACTAATTAACTCTTTGGCATAAATTCTAGAAGTGAAATGGCTGGGTCAAAGACATACACATTTTATATTTTGATATACATTGCCAAACTACCTAACAAAAAAGTATCAATTTACACTGAAATTTTGAGTATAAATGTCCTCAGTCCCTGGGAAAGCTGCATTTAATATACACAGACTTGTACCATCTCTGTTTTCCCTCGCCTCTTTCTTTCTATCCACCTACCTACCCCTCAAAAGACCTATGTTAGGACTTTTTTTCCCAGGCAAGTGTTAAAAGTGGCACCCTGGTGCTGAGTCAGACCTCTTTTATAACCACCCCGTGACAGTAGAGACAGAAATCTTTAAATCTACAGAAACACTTAATTTTTCTACAGAGTGAAAAGTAAGTCAATGGGGACAAACTCCCAAAAGATTAGAAAAATAGAAAAAGAGTAGGCAGGCATCAATGCAGATAAACAAGCAGATTATTAAAGTTTCAAATTAAGAAATGAAATCACATGGCTAGAACTTCTGAATGGAAGGCTCTAAAAAATAAAACTGTAATTCTATGATCATATACTTTTTTTTAAAGATTTTATTTATTTATTTATTTGAGAGAGACAGTGGGGGTGGGGGGAGGGGCAAAGGGAGAGGGAGAAGCAGACTCCCCACTGAGCAGGGAGTCCAACTCAGGGCTTGGTTCTAGGACCCAGAGATCATGACCTGAGCTGAAGGCAGTTGCTTAACTGACTGAGCCATCCAGGTGCCTCATAAATAAATTCAACTGAAGAATAAGAGGGGAAGATATCAAAAGAAAAATATGTTCTTATAAGCTTAGATTTTAAAAGATAATCTATGTCCCTAAAAATTGCTTAGTAGTTTACAAGGTGGGAGGGGCACAGTAACTACACAGTGGAGGAATTGGCAACACCTTGACCAGGTGATCAAAATAAACAGCTCTAAAGAGGCATGGATGGATGCAAATCACTTAGGTAAGTATTCGGGCCAGGGATGCATGAGTTGAATCTAATCATGAAAAACAGACAAAACCAAATTGAAGAACATTCTATAAAATGCACAGCCTGCATTCTTCAAAATGTCCATGTTATGAAAGAGAAAGACAGACTAAGGAGCTGTTCCCGATCACAGGAGACTAAACAGACATGACCGCTAAATGCAACACACGAACCTGGATTGTATCATGTACTGGAGGCAGAATGTGCCATATAGGACATTATTGGCATAATTAAATGTTGTACCAATATTGTTTCCTGAATTTGATCATTGCAGCATGGTTATAAAGGGGAATACCCTTGCTCTTAGGAAATACACACTAACATATTAAGATGTACAGGGTCATAAGGTGTGCAACATACTCTCAAACAGTCCAGAAAAAAAGAAATTGTGCATGTATTACATATGTGGCCTAGAAGTCTATTACAGAAAATAATGAGGTAAATTATTATCCCCACAATGGAATATCATGCAACTGATAAAAATAATGAGGTAGTGGGCGCCTGGGTGGCTCAGATGGTTGGGCATCTGCCTTCGGCTCAGGTCATGATCCCAGGGTCCTGGGATCGAGTCCCGCGTCGGGCTCCCTGCTCCGCGGGGAGCCTGCTTCTCCCTCTGCCTCTCTCTCTCTCTCTGTCTCTCATGAATAAATAAATAAAATCTTTAAAAAAAAAATAATGAGGTAGTTTCATATGTACTGACATGGAAAGATTTCTAAGACACACTAACAAGTCAGTGGGAAAGTTGCTGATGTTAGACATACATTTTTATGAGCATGTATAGGTTTCATAATCAGAAAAACAGCTTGTTTTTGAGGATTTAAGAAACAAAGTAGGGGGTGCCTGGGTGGCTCAGTCAGTTGAGCATCCAATTCTTGATTTTGGTTCGAGTCATGATCTCAGGGTTGTGAGACTGATCCCCCTGTCAGGTTCCACACTCAGCACAAAACCTGCTTAAGATTCTCTCCCTCTCCTTCTGCTGCTCCCCCCACCCCCTGCCCCCAGCTCACACTCTCTCTCTTCTAAAAACAAAACAAAGTAGATGTATAGCAGGTCAAAAAACAGCTGTAAAAAGAAGGAAGAATGTGAAAAGAGCATTTGCAATTACCTGAAAAAAAAAAAAGGATTAGATAATTAAGGCCAAGAATAACTTAAAGAAAAACTGGTTAAAGACCTTTTTAGGGGCGCCTGGGTGGCTCAGTTGTTAAATGTCTGCCTTCTGCTCAGGTATTGATCACTGGGTCCTGGGATCGAGCCCCGCACTGGGCTCCCTGCTCAGCAGGAAGCCTGCTTCTCCCTCTCCCTCTGCCCCTGCTTGTGTTCCCTCTCTCGCTGTGTCTGTCAAATAAATAAATAAAATCTTAAAAAAAAAAAATTAAGACCTTTTTATTTTTCCCTTTTAAACTTATGTTCAAAACCAAAAGCTACATAGGAAATGATGGTCTCAATGTCTGGAGAGCATAGGTAAGGTTAACTGGTAGTGTGGACGCCTGGACTTCAGGCCTAAATTGGTTCCTGACCTTAACCAAGTCACTCAATTTCTCTGGGCCTTCCTTCCCTCATCCCTGAAATAAAGAATTGAAAAGGACAATTTCCAGTCCTAGTTCAATGAAATATGAGACCGAGGTATCTTAAAAAATAATTTTTGGGGCTCCTGGGTGGCTCAGTCGATTAACTGTCTGACTTTGGCTCAGGTCATGATCTCAGGGTCCTGGGATCAAGGCCCCCTGCATTGAGCTCCGTGCTCAGAGGGGAGGCTGCTTGTCCCGCTCCCTCCCTCTCTGCTCCTCCCCCCAGCTCATGTGCTTGCTCTCTTTCTCTCTCTCTCTTTCTCTAATAAATAAAATCTTAAAAAAAAGAATTTTCAAAATAACACCTACTGGATAATAGACTCATTCTTTACCTGGCGGCTCCAACTGCCACTAAGGACTGCAGCCCTACCTGTTTCTCCAGGAAAGGGACATTCTTTTCAACCCCATTGAATCTCCAGCCACATGTGGTACAGGTGACAGATATTTGTGGAAATAAAGTTGAATTAAATTTTTGCTTTCCCATTACCTGAGACCTATAAAGACCATATTTCTAGAAGTATGCTAATTAGGTACCAATGTTGATTGAATCATTAATGTGAAATGTAGCCAGGTAAGAAATATCTACAGCTTGGATGACCTGGACAATCTAAATTCTGAAATGATAGCAGATCAGTCAACTGGCGCAGGCACGTCTCTGTTGTGAATCAGGAGGATCCGGAATAAGCTTGTAATTGAGATATCTCTGGGACATTTATGCCCTCCTCATCCCCACCTGGAGGACTTAGCTCTAAATTATAAAGTGCATTTACGTTCCTTCAAGTCATTCTCTATTCTCCACAACATGGTCATTCATTTTTTTCTAATTATAAAAGGAATTCACTCTTATTTGGAGAATCTTAAAAATACAGAAAAATTTAAAGAAGAAAAGAAAGGGCCCCAATAATCCTTTCCACAGAGGCACTGCTGATACTTTAGGGTAGGTTCTTCTGCTCTTTTCTTGTGGATATATAAGTATTTTATACACATACAAAATTGCTTAAGCTGTAAGCAGTTTTTCTTTTGTTTTTAACTTAAAAGTTAGTCATTTTAAAGTAAATAATTATGTATACCCTACTGTTTATTTCAGGAAGACCCACAAAGAAGGACAAAGAAAACCTCTCTAAAGGACCTACCTTACCAGATCTTCTCTGAAGAGGTCCCACCGTCCAAGACCTGTAGGATAAATTGGCCAAACAGCAGGTCCCCCTTCCCAAAATGTCCAAGCAGGATACATGATATCATGGTACTCTGATGTCTTCAATAGAAACAGAAGGGTTGTTCAAAATCAGTCTCAGAACAGAGAGAGAAGAAGCAAACTACTGTCATGCCACAGGATCTGGACAGAGGTCTTGCTCTAGTGTTAACATTGCCACACATCTGTTTTCCCTTGTCTGCAAAGTCTACACTCTAGACATTAAAAGGGAAAAATGACCATGGGTTAAAATTCATGGGCTCACTGAATCCCAGAATTTGAAATCTCATTAAAAGTCAACTTTTCCAGTTACCCAAAGTTCTGTTTTTCTAGAGGACATTATTACACTGTTAGGGTTTTTAGTTTAAGGAACTCTCTCATCTTTTAACTGCTATTACACTTATAGTATATACTGTCTTACCAGTTCCAGCTTATTTCCTAAATGGGTCTTTTGAGAGCAAGAATCACAGTGCAATGGTTAAGAGCGTGGGCTCTTGAAACAGATCATCTGAGTTTGAATGCTGATTCTACTTCTTTCCAACTCCAGACAAGTTACTTAATTTTTCTATGCCTCAGTTTCCTTATCTTTATGATGCGAGAAATAATAATACCAATAATGTTATCTATCTAATGGGCTTGTTTTGAATATTAAATGAGTTAGTACATGTGAAAAGCTTAGACCAGTGCTTGGTACATGGTAAGTACTCAATAAGTGTTAATTAGTATTACCTAATACTGTGGTATTGTGGAGCTCACACCAGTTGGTCAGTAAATTCTTGGTTATTTGTTGGTCAGGACCAGAAGTGCTGATGGGCAGGACGGGGGAAAGGGATATCATCCTACATCTTTTGAAAAAAGTTTAAAACCATTTGTTCCAAAAAAAAAAAAAGAAAAAAAAACCCATTTGTTCCCCTTTTTATGGTTACTTCTATTAAAATTCTGGCCACTGACACACCTCTAACTCTTTGGTTTCTTCACTGGAATTACACATGCAATATGCTGTTCACCTTTTCTCAAATCCTTTAAAAAAATGGTATGTGATTCATCAAGCAGCTCAGGCATAACAGCTGCTCAAGAGAAGCTGAACAATTCCTATAAAGATGAAAGACTAAAATCCCTCTCTAGGGACTAGGAGTCACTGGTTTTAAAAAAGAAAGAAAAGAAAAGTAAAGATGAAAAGAAAGTATACTGATGGTCATACTTTACCATCCACCAAAACAACAAATAAATAACAAACATAAAGTCCTTACTGACGTACATGGGAGCCTCTATCTGTTCTTCTGGGAGGGTTTTAGGATAAACAGCAAGACCAAGCACTTTTGATAAATGAGGCTAAACCATGGGAAACACAACACCAATGTGGCCTCAGCCCACTTGCAACACAGGAAATAAGTCTAGAGAGAAAGTAAACTGTGATAAAGAAAAAGTATGGATAAAAGGTCCCTCTTTGGAGAAACCAAATCAGAGATGGTGTTCCTTTTCTCAAAGTCCATAGGGTTTTCCTAAATCCACTCTTCCCCCACAGAATCTTCTATCTATTCTCTTCAAGGCCTCCCCCTAAATGTGTTCATGCCTAATCTCTAGGGAACTAAGGCCCATCCCTGCCAATAAATATTTGCAAGAACCTGAGCACTGAGAAGATATTAACTGTCCCAAGTTCTCCAAGTCCACAGGTGTGAGCTAGTACTCCTATTCCTCCATAACTAGACCCAAAGATCACTCTCTCACATATCCTTCTTGGATATCCCAGGCCTATCCCCTCAACACACTGTTTAGGCACAAACTGTGTGGAGTTATCTACCACCTTCAGTTTCACTGTTAGCTATGCTGAGCCCCTACGACAGACTGACAGATAGGACAGATAGGACTATATATATAGGAGCTCAACAAATATTTTTTGAACGAAGGTGTTTCCTAACTCCAAGCCCATGAGCTATCTTGAGCCACTTTATCCCATGCTCCGTAGCATCTCTGAACCTTGCCTTCAGTGGCTCTTCAGGCCTCCATCATTCCCTACCCTTCATCCCTAGCCCTATAGACACTTTCACATTACCCATCTCCTCAGTCTTATTGCTCAGCCACTGTGAAGCTAAGAGGGACACAGACCAATTCCTGGAATCCAGGTCTCATCCTCACCATTACCCATCAGACTCTGTCACAGGACAATCATCTCCTACTCATACTCTAGAGGACCACCCTCCATCTCCCCATACAGTTCTTCCCACACTTACCTTACTGAAGGAGAAGACTGGAATGGCTGGCTCCATCCACTTAGGAACCTGAGGATAATCTCGTACATTGATCACCATTTCCATGTCTGGAAGCCGCCCGATAACTTCCAAAATGAAGTGTTCAACACCACTACACCTGCCAACCAGAAATACCACAAATTCACCAGACTAGTGTCTGCCATAGGACAAAACAGGGTCCCATTCCCACTTTGAAAGCCAGTGTTCAGATCATCAGCCTACTGCAAAGTTTCCTGAAAGCAATGCTTCTAAAAAGACTTTTCTATTCTTTTATATTGTGCAGGTTATCTTTCCTAGCTAACCTCCTCCAGCTTGCAATACTTAATGAAATTTTCCAACTAGGTCCTAAGTTTGGAGGATGTATTATTGCTACTCCTACCACCTCTTCTCTATCTATTCCTAGTTTTTTTTTTTTAATTTCCCCTTTTGTTTAACGAGTAAGCAAGATACAAATTTTGATAAGAACTGGAGAAAGCTAATTTTCTAATTGTGTCCCTTGGGCTTTGCTTCTCACAAAGATTTTTTTTCTTTCCACCAAAATTAAGTCTCATAATTTAGGAAGAAAGATAGGAAAACTTTTATTGCCTTCAACTTGAGTACAGAACACTATCAAAATCAGTTTTGCAAGTCAGAAAAGGAGTGTTATGTACACAATTATGTTTATACTATACTGGGGTCTATTAAGTATTCAATGATAGTATTATGTCTAAAAAAAACAACGTGTATATCTTTTTTTTTAAAGGTTTTATTTATTTATTTGACAGAGAGAGACAGCGAGAGAGGGAACACAAGCAGGGGGAGTGGGAGAGGGAGAAGCAGGCTTTGCGCTGAGCAGGGAGCCCGATGCGGGGCTCCATCCCAGGACCCTGAGATCATGACCTGAGCGGAAGGCAGACACTTAACGACTGAGCCACCCAGGCACCCCTTGTTAGCATTTTTTAGCAATAAAGTGTCTTTAATTAAGATATACATGTTGTTGGGGCGCCTGGGTGGCTCAGTCGTTAAGCGTCTGCCTTCGGCTCAGATCATGATCTCAGGGTCCTGGGATGGAGCCCCGCATCGGGCTCCCTGCTCAGCTCAAAGCCTGCTTCTCCCTCTCCCACTCCCCCTGCTTGTGTTCCCTCTCTCGCTGTCTCTCTATCAAATGAATAAAATAAAATCTTAAATAAATAAATAAATGAAAATGCTAACAATCATCTGAGCTTTCAGTGAGCTGTAATCACTGATCACAGATCACCATAACAAATATAGTAATAATACTAAAATTTAAAATATTGAACGAGGGGCGCCTGGGTGGCTCAGTCGTTAAGCGTCTGCCTTTGGCTCAGGTCATGATCCCAGGGTTCTGGGATCGAGCCCCACATCAGGCTCCCTGCTCCACGGGAGGCCTGCTTCTCTCTCTCCCACTCCCCCTGCTTGTGTTCCCTCTCTCGCTGTCTCTCTCTGTCAAATAAATAAATAAAATCTTTAAAAAAATAAAATAAAATAAAATATTGAACGAATCACCAAAATGTGATACAGAGACATGAAGTAAACAAATGCTGTTAGAAAAATGGCACCAATAGACTTGTTTGACGCAGGGTTGCCACAAACCTTCACTTTGTAAAAAAAAAAGAAAAAATGCAGTATCTGCAAGATGCAATAAAAGTGAGGCAACAATAGAACAAGGTATGCCTGTATAGCTTTCTGATTAGCCTCTCCAGGTATCCTCAGAGGACTTCTGGAAAGAGAGGATACACTGACAGCTTAGCTCTTCTGCCCCATTCTTTGAGGTCCTGACCAGCACTAGCCTGGGGGGCAGCATTCCAGGGTTCAACCAAAGTTTTCCAGCAGCATAGAAATGACTGATTTAAAATACTGACTTATATATGGGGAGGTTACTGCAAAAAATATCAGTGATTCATAAACAAAAGAAAAGATGCTCAACCATATTAAAGAAATGTCCCAAAAGCCAAACTTGTAAAAAGAGAGAAAAAATGGTGGTTGCCAGAGGGGGGAGAGGATAGATGGTGCTTAAAGGTACAAACTTACAAGTAGTAAATAAGCCCTAGAGATCTCATGCACAGTATAGTGAACAAAATACCTAGTAATAATTTTTTTAAATTTTTTATTGTTATGTTAATGACCATACATTACATCATTAGTTTGTGATGTAGTGTTCCATGATTCATTGTTTGTGCATAACACCCAGTGCTCCACGCAGAACGTGCCCTCCTTAATACCCATCACCAGGCTAACCCATCCCCCCACCCTCCTCCCCTCTAGAACCCTCAGTTTGTTTTTCAGAGTCCATCGTCTCTCATGGTTCGTCTCCCCCTCCGACTTACTCCCCTTCATTCTTCCCCTCCTGCTATCTTCTTCTTTTTCTTTTTTCTTAACATATGTTGCATTATTTGTTTCAGAGGTACAGATCTGTGATTCAACAGTCTTGCACAATTCACAGCGCTCACCATAGCACATACCCTCTCCAATGTCTATCACCCAGGCACCCCATCCCTCCCACCCCCCACCACTCCAGCAACCCTCAGTTTGTTTGCTGAGATTAAGAATTCCTCATATCAGTGAGGTCATTTGATACATGTCTTTCTCTGATTGACTTATTTCACTCAGCATAACACCCTCCAGTTCCATCCATGTCGTTGCAAATGGCAAGATCTCATTCCTTTTGATGGCTGCATAATATTCCATTGTGTATATATACCACATCTTCTTTATCCATTCATCTGTCGATGGAGATCTTGGCTCTTTCCACAGTTTGGCTATTGTGGACATTGCTGCTATAAACATTGGGGTGCACGTACCCCTTTGGATCCCTACATTTGTATCTTTGGGGTAAATACCGAGTAGTGCAATTGCTGGATCATATGGTAGCTCTATTTTCACCTAGTAATAAATTTAACCAATGAGGTAGAGGATCTGTACTCTGAAAACTGTACTTGATGGAACAAATTTAAGATGATACAAATAAATGGAAAGACATACCATACTCATGGATTGGCAGAATTAATACTGATAAAATGTCCATGCTCCTGAAAGCAATCTATATATTCAATGCTTCTATCAAAACACCAATTGCATTTTCCACAGAACTAGCACAAATAATCCTAAAATTTGTATGGAACCACAAACGACTCTGGATGGCCAGAGCAATCTTGAGAAAGAAGAACATAGCTGGAGGTATCATAATTCCAGGTTTTGAACTATACTACAAAGCAATAATAATCAAAATAGTATGGCACTGGCACAAAAATGGACACATAGATCACTAGAACAGAATAGAGAGTCCAGAAATAAACCCACAATTGTATGGTCAATTAATCTATGATAGAGGAGGCAAGAGTATACAATGGAGAAAAAATACCTTCTTCAATAAATGGTGTTGGGAAACCTGGACAGCTACGTGCAAAAGAATGAAACTGGACCACTTTTTTATACCATATACAAAAACAAACTCAAATGGATTAAAGACCTAAGTACAAGGCTTGAAACCATAAAACTCCTAAAAGAAAACAGGCAGTAAACTCTTGGATGTTAGTCTTAGCAATATCTTTTTAGAACTGTCTCTTCAGGCAAGGGCAACAAAAGCAAAAATAAACAATTGAGACTACATCAAACTAAAAAGCTTTTGTACAGTGAAGGAAACAACAAAACAAAAAGACAACATACTAAATGGAAGAAGATATTTGCAAATGATATATCTGGTAAAGGGTAAATAAAGAACTAATATAATTCAATACCAAAAAACAATCCAATGAAAAAATGGGCAGAGGACATGAATAGATATATTCCAAAGAAGATGTACAGATGGCCAACAGACACATGAAAAAATATTCAGCATCACTAATCATCAGGGAAATGCAAATCAAAACCATAATGAGACATCATCACCTCACACCAGTCAGAATGGCTATTATGAAAAAGACAAGAAATAACAAATGTTGGCAAGGATGTGAAGAGAAGAGAACCCTCGTGCACTATTGCTGGGAATGCAAATTGGTGCAGCCACTGTGGAAAACAGTACGGAGGTACCTCAAAAAAATTAAAAATAGAAATACCTTATGATTTGGTAATTCTGCTTTTAGGGGGTATTTATCCAAAGAAAACAAAAATACTAATTTGAAAAGATATATACACCCCTATGTTTACTGCAGCATTATTTACAATAGTCCACATATGGAAACAACCTAAGTGCCCATCAATAGATAAATGGATAAAGATGTGTGTGTGTATATATATATATATATATATATAATATACCATACAGATATTATTATTAGATAATATAATAGAATATTAATCAGCCATAAGAAAGAATGAGATCTCGGCATTTGTGACAACATGGATGGACCCAGAGGGTATTATGCTAAGTGAAATAAGTCAGACAGAGAAAGACAAATACCATGCACCAAAAAGACTTAATAAATAAATAAATCCACATGATTTCACTTATATGTGGAACCTAGAAAACAAAACAAACGAATAAACAAAACGCAGAAACAGACCCATAAATACAGAGAACAAACTGACGGCTGCCAAAGCGAAAGGGGGTGAGAGGATGGAGCAAAATGGATGAAGGAGAATGAGAGATACGGGCTTCCAATTATGGAATGAATAAGTCATGACGATAAAAAGGACAGCATAGGGAATACAGTCAATGGTACTATAATAGTGTTGTGCGGTTAAAGACAGTAACTACACTTGTGGTGAGCACAGCAAAGTATACAGAGTTGTCCAGAATTACTATGTTGTACACCTGAAACTAAGTTTAACGTTGTGTGTCACGACGCTTCAATAAAAAGAAGTCATAGGGAATATACTCAATAATGCTATAATCACTTTGTATGGTGATAGGTGCTAACTACACGTATCAGGGTGAGCATTTGTAATGCATATACATGCTGAATCACTATGTTGTACACTTGAAACTAATATAATATTGTATATTAACTATACTTCAATTAAGAATAAATTAATTTTAAAAAGATAATGATCAAGAAACTTACCAAGTTGTATACTTTAAGTGTGCGCAGTTTATGTCAGCCATACCTCACTAAAGTTATTATTTTAAAAATACCATTATTCTCCATCTTTGAAATGACATGTCTCCAGTCATTTAATTAGATGGTGCTCTGGTTCCTCAGCAAAATCTCTCAGCTCATTCTTTAACTGCTGAATTTACATTTGACTTTGTTCAGAATAAAATTTTCTAAATGCCATACAGGCTTCTCCCACTGGATGAATTCAAAGTATCTAGACCTAGAAAGATACTGTTTTGGCTAGATGGAAATCTGAGATATTATTCAACTGTATCCATTTCATTAAGGACACTGGTTCTGAATATTTCATTTTGTTTCTTTTTTGCTCAACTCTGTTTCCTTAGTTGTGTATGTAGTTGAGATAGGGAACTTTCCATGCATTAGAGATATAGACTATTTCATTGTCAATGAAAGGTCCTGTGCTTCCTTAAGAACATTTCTAAGAGCTCATGATTCTGACCAAAATGTTATGAGGTCTGGAATGAGAGGTATGTGCCTTTCAGAAACTTTGAAAGTATTTAATTTCATCTGGAAATTGTTTGGCTAACTATTAAACATTAGGTAAACTATCAAAGTCTAACAATGTCTATACTCCTATTTTCTTTTTCATTTGTAGAAATTAGAAATTCCTCTACACTCATAATCTATAAAGTTTCTATTAGTATCCCAAGTAATGAAACAAATCTCTGTTTAAAATACCTCAATAGGGGCACCTAGGTGGCTCAGTTGGTTAAGCGTCTGCCTTTGGCTCAGGTCATGATCTCAGGGTCCTGGGATCAAGCCCCTCGACAGGACTCCCTGCTCAGCAGGAAGTCTGCTTCTCCCTGTCCCTCTGCCCCTCCCCACACTCATGCTCACGTGCTCTCTCATTCTCAAATAAAATCTTAAAAAATAAAAATAAAATACCTCAATAATTTTGCTCACTACCACCTTATTTGCCCCTGACACTTGATAACAAAAATGTAATTGTGATTACTTCAAGGTAGTAGGATATTAAGTGATCTTTATTTTCTTTTTTGTTGTTGTTTTCATGTATTTTTGACAATGAAAATGTACTAACTTGTAATAAAGTTGTTATTAAGAAAAATTCCTTATGTCCATATGGATGGATGTTACTTGCAATACTGTTCATTTACTTTGAGATTTTATTTATTTGAGAGAGAGAGAGCACAAGCAGGAGGGGGGGAGAGGGAGAGGAAGAAGCAGACTCCCCACTGAGGGGGGAAGCCTGACCCAGGACTCGAGGCCAGGACCCTGGGATCATGACCTGAGCTGAAGGCAGTTAACTGACTGAGCCACCCAGGTGTCCCTCAATTACTTTACTTTTAATGACAGAATAGAGATTGTTTAGAAAGAAGATCTTAGGCAGGGGAATACCATGGCCTCTGAATTTTGTACTTCATAATTTTATAAAGATTTGAGTTTAAAAAAAAAAGACTCCTAAAAGGGAAGTTTCTCGTTTGTTGTATAAATATATAATGCTACCTAAACCCAACTTCCAGGCTCAGTCCAAGACCCTCTCTAATCACCCCGAGCCCTCAGCCCACTGATATGTTACCTCAACTTTCACATCTGAATTCCTGGCTAGTGTAGCCTGCGTAATCTGCAGCCCCAGTTACTCTTGTCTTTCAGCCACCCTTCTTCAAATACTCAGTATCTAGAACAATACTTGACCCATGATAAACACTCAATGTTTCTCCTCCTTGAGCCCAGCTCACTCCTACCAGGTCTCAATCAGCTTGTGCCCTGCAGCTTCTATATCTGGGGAAAGATGAGGGCAGAGCCATAGCCAGTACAACCAGTGATGTGCCCAAGTCTCAAGAAGAGAGAGGAGACAGACTTTAATATAGGAGAAAGGGGGGCAGGAGTTGGCAAGAAAAATCCCGAGGTAAGAAGAGCTTGTCACTATTTTCTAGCCCCTCTGAAATGTGAGGAGAGATTCACCTGTGGGTCCCTTTAATTAAAAAGAACAGTATCAAGTAAGCCCATATATAAGAAGATCGGAAGATATATCTACCTCATAATTCTTACCTTGAAGGGAACATGCAGTCATTCTCTCGGTATAATCTGTTCTTAATGATCTGATAGTGGGTCCCTAGTTTCCGTCTGACTACCTCCGCCATCATCTTCCTGGAGATGCCTCCTCGGAAAGGAGTCAGATCCTCTTCTATGACCCTGGGAAAGAATGTGAATCGTCAAGGAAAGCAGGTCAAGAAAGTGGTACCATTCCACCTACTTCCTATCTGTGGGTTTAGATTTAGTATTAGAAGACACAGTAAACCAGAGAAAGAATAAAGGGCAGAAATGAGTTTCCCCCAGAAGCACATAGGTAATCTAAACCCAAACGACAAAGCCACAAAGAGGAAAAAGCAAGTCAATTTCTCTTCTTCCTCTCTCCATCTGGATTGCCCCTCCTCTGCTTGATGCGCATTCCTGCTTTGATACACAACACCCATGTCCTCCCACTGACCTCCCCTTCTCTGATTCCCACAGAAGGTATGATCTATGCCTTAGAGTCTGACACTGTCTGATGTCCTTGGTCTCAGACTGACTCCCTTGTTCTGGTCTGTCTGGTCCCCACTCACCTCACATATTCTCACAGCCTGACAGCAGTAACCAGAAATTACACTATTTTGTATCCCTTTTAAAGTTCAGTATATAGTTTTCAACAAGTACCATAAGCATTAGGTGAATTTTTTGAGGAGTCATAGAATAACACAATGAGGAACTAAAGGACCCTGTTATTTAGCTGATGAGGAATCTGAGACCCAGAGAAGTTAAGTGACTTGCCACAGCAATAATTAGTGGGAGTTCTGCAGATCCTAGAACCCACGGCTGCTTTCAAAGTAACCTTTCTACCACACTACCCTCTCAGCCATAATTCGCAACTTTAAAAATAACCAACAAGAAATTATGATTAGGTTCATTTATAAATATGTTCATTCCCCCGACAATATTTACTGAGTACTTACTCAGTAAGCCAGCACCAGGGATGCAACACTGATTAAGACATAGGCCTTGACCTCAAGAAGCTTTCAGTCCAGTGGGGAACACAGATAACTATGTGTAGCTAACTCCAAGGAGTAAGTAACCTTGCTGAGACCACCTGGGCCTCTCCTATCCTAGTAGATTTTTGTTCCCTAGAAAGAGAAAACCTACTGCAGGAACCTTGTCTTTTATCAAGGCATGCTTGGCACTCTGATCACTGTAACCCCGGTCTCTTGGGGATTTTAGGGGACTTCTTGTGACAAGCACTAAACTCTCAAAGACACATCAAAGAAAAGAACTCACCCATGGTAGCAGCTGCAATTTTGACTTGAACATGGTTCATAATTCTCCAAAGACCTGTTAATTTGGTCAATAAATACTTTCCATTTTGAACCTTCAAGAAGTAAATGAGAGTTAACAAAATACCCTGGGCATTCTCATTTGCTAGCAGCAAGCATGCAGAACCAACAGAAGGCCAAAACTTTTAGACACCCCTTCCCATTCCACTGGTGGAAACGAAATGCCAGGAAGGAGTCATTCTGTAACTCTCCAGCACTCATGTCAAGTCTGCTCTTCTACTCGGGCTGTCAGGTGTCCGAGAAATTGGAAAATGTCCAAGCCTGGCACTCAGAAAGCTATGAATAAACTGGTGACACATATGCTCACCTTTTACTAATCAAAGTGAACCCTACAAAGAGGATCAGTTAAAAGCCACAAACTTTAATTCTCCCTTCATCTCTCTGGCAATTCATTAAGAACCACACACACGCACGCACACGAATTATCCCCCAGTGTGTTTTAGGGAGGAGCAGTGTAACCAAGCGCAGGCGACACCCGCTGTGGGTGAACACAATTCCCTCTCTTCCCCACTATCCCAATCCTGAAAGTCGGATTACTCTCCAGGGTCCTGGGCAGTAAAAGCAGCGCCAGGCAACCAGACGCTCTCACTCTCCGCTCCAAGGCTCCCCCGTGCCCTCTGGCCAGCTTTGCGCTCCAGCGGCCACAGCATCAGCTGGCCGCCCGCCGCACCGGGAAACCAAGGGGGGCGGGAGAGCGCTTGCGGACCGGACCCGACCCGGAGCCCCAGCGGCAGGCTCTGCCCTGCCCGGAGCCCACCTGACTCCTTCTGGCGGCCCGGCACTGGGGGCAGTAATAGCAACAGCAGCCACAGCCGGAGCTGCGGGATCACCCACCGCTCCATCGCCCGCAACCCACTGCGGAGTCCCAGCTGCCGCGCCGGCGGAAGCGCAGCCCCGCACAAAGATGGCCGTGGGCGCCGCACCACGTGGGCGGAGGGCCGCCCCGCACAGAGATGGCCGCGCGCCACTCCGCCTCCCCGCCCCCAAGCGCCGGCAGGCGGCCGAGTTTTTCCGGGAGGGCGGTGCCGGGATGTCAGCCGAGGGTCGGGCCCGCAGAGCGTGGCGAATCTCGCTCGTTGGTGTGGAACCTGACTGTAGAGTTAGCTGCTTCATGTCGCCAGGTGTAGTGAAAGGTTCAAAATGCATCTCTCTGTCTCTCTCTGTCTCTCAGAAAATTGAAGCCCAGGAGAGAATGAATAAAAGGCATCCCCTGGGAAAATATGTCTGATAATGGTAATTCCTTACACTCTAGCATATTTAAAACACCTTAAACTCTGCGGCCAGAAAACTGAAGTTGGAACAACGTAGGCTAGAAGTTGGTTGCACATCAGACTGCTTCTTATTAAATAGTATAGATTTGGTGAGTACCTGAATATATACAGCACTGTAAGAACCCAAGAGGTGTGGGGCGCCTGGGTGGCTCAGTCGGTTAAGGGTCTGCCTTCGGCTCAGGTCATGATCCCAGGGTCCTGGGATCCAGCCCCGCATCTGGCTCCCTGCTCTGTGGGAAGCCTGATTCTCCCTCTCCTACTCCCCCTGCTTGTGTTACCTCTCTCGCTGTGTTTCTGTCAAATAAATAAATAAAATCTTAAAACAAATAAAAACAAAAACCAAGAGGTGGAAAATAATATAGCACAAATCTCTTTATAATAGGATTTTATAACAATTGAGGTGAATTAGACATGGGAAAAACCTGTGGGGTAACATTATACTGGACAGTATAGGTTTATAGCTATACACAGGTATATATAGTAATCATACAAGTATTTACTCACTGTCTAAAATGTGCAAGGTAACCTCCTAGGCTCTGTGGAAATATATGAAAGTACGAGATGAGATCTGCGTCCTCGAGTTTGGAACTAGTGGGAAGACAAATATACTTCCCCAGAGATTATTTACAACATAAGGCAGTATGCAATTGCTATTGGTTTCAGTGGAGAGAAAGATCAACATGAGATGGAAATTTGGAAAAGGAGTGGGAGGAGTCTACTGAAATGAAAATGAAATATTGCAGTTAAGGAATATTGTGCTGGAGACCCTAAAAATGGGGAAGCCATAATTTGTAGAAAGTGGGGGCAGAGCATAGATTGATGGTAGGGGAGGTTTAGGATATACACTGAGGGGAGTGGTGAAAGATAAAATAATGCTGATCAGTTAGGAATGGGTTATATCACTCACTTTGGGTGTGTAGGCAAGAAGAGAAAATGGATCGTCAACACTATATTGTACAAGACTTCCTCAGGAATCCAAATGAAAACTTGAAATCCATTTCTTCTACTTCTGGAAGGTGTGCAGTACTTCAAAATGAATGGTTCATTGAAAGCACATAACTAAAACAGTGTGTTACATAGACAAACACCACAGTAACCTTGGCTTCAAAGTTAGTTTAAAATGAATATAGCGGAGAATAATTTTTAAAACTTTAATAAAGGAGTTTTTATTTTCTGTAATTCAAGTTTTCTGTAATCAGAAGAAAATGGAAATCACCTTGTGTTATGTCTTTGAAATGAAAATAAATCAGTATTTTCTGCAATTTTACAATGTTTATCTATGTGGAAGAACATAAAGAGATTGGGAGATAAGTGGGCCCTGTACACATTAGTGAACTTCATGTGAACCCCAACAATAATTGTTTCATTTCCTTAACAGACGAGGTGGTTTATTCCAGTGGGTCCCATATGTAAATAAGTGCCAGAATCCTGGAGCTATGAAAATCACAGATTTCTGGGTCCTATGCCAGCCACTAATTTAAATTGCAAACACTCTGGTTTAAAAGATCTTCCATGTTTAAGCTCTTCCTGTGTCTTCAAATTCATTTCATGCCACATTTTCCTTTGCTCACGATGACCTAGCTATACAGCTTTGTGTTGTTTCTCAAACATAACAAGCTCTTGCACAACATAGAATTTCTGCATAAATTTTGTTTTCTATTTTGACTACTTTTCCCTCCCATCTTTGTCTCTCTGGTTCCTTCCCAACATTCAGGTTTCTGCTGAAATACTATTCCCTCACATACATAACCCCTCAAAACAAAACCTCCCTTATTTTCTACCTTAGCCCCTGTTTGTCTCCATAATACTTCTAATGTGTAATTATTTTATTTATCAAATGCTTCCCATTAGAATATAAACTCCAGGAGATCAGGAACATATCTGTCTTGTGCAGTAAGACAGTGCCTGGTACACAGTAGGCACTAAATAAATAATTGCTGAATGAATGAAGGATGCTGGTGAGCCAAAAGAAAAGCGGCAAAGGAGTTTCAATGTAGGAAGCTAGGAAGCAGTTAGCAGAGCAAGCATGAAAATAAATGTACAAAATTATGGAAATATGTAATGATCTACGTCGGGTTTTATATATTCATGAATGAAAGTTCTGTAGTACATTAGGGTACTAAGAATATTTGGAATATTACTAACTTTAGTAGTCTTGATATTGGTCATTCTGCTCCAAATTCTGGCTCTGCCACTTATTAGCTGGGTTATTTTCAGCAAGTTATTTAGCTTCTCTTAAAACTTGTTTCCTCTGGGGCGCCTGGGTGGTTCAGTTGGTTAAGTGACTGCCTGAGGCTCAGGTCATGATCCTGGGGTTCTGGGATCGAGTCCCGCATCAGGCTCCCTGCTCAGCAGGGAGTCTGCTTCTCCCTCTGACCCTCTTCCCTCTCACGTTCTCTGTCTCTCATTCTCTCCCTCTCAAATAAATAAATAAAATCTTTAAAAAAAAAAGCTCAGATTTCTATTTAAAAAAACTTGTTTCCTCTGTAAAATAGGAACAATGATGGTATATCAAAGCAATATAAGATGTAAATGAAATGTGGAAAGGTACTAGTCTAGTGTCGTACATGGCAATAACTTGAGTACAGGGCAATAACTCTCATAAAGGTTAACTAATCTATAACTGTGTGATACTACATACAAAGGGCATTCTCTCAAGGTGTTTAAAATCTCTGGAGCTAGAGATCTCAACACATGCTCTTCTTGACACTTTTACTCTTCTTCTAATACTAAACTATTGGCACTTTCTGAATTCATCATGGTGTTTCCCACCATTTTACCTTTTTATCTGCCACTTCCTTCACTAGAAAGCCATTCTCCCACGAACAGCCTAATCATTCTTGGAGTCTTGGCTTTAAACTCCAGGCTCACAAGTTTTTCTTGGTATTGCCACCACCACTATCCCAGAGAATTTATTACACTGAATAAATTACAATGAATTGCATGCTAACCTCTGGACCTTAGGCATACTTTTGTTGCATTTACTATATTGTAATTACTGTGTTTTCCTGGTGTCTCGTCTCTTTCAATAGACTGAGCAACCTGTGGTATTCACTTGTTTAACTCCAGCATCCATCCAGTCCCTAGGCGCACGACTGGATGCTGAAGCATGACATCACGACTTGAACTCCTTTACCTGGCAGTGACGTGACCGTAGGCGACGTCTCCCAACCTCCCCTATCTGTAAAAATTGGGGTGATAATTTGTATGTGGTTGTTAAGGGGAGTCCATGAGATAGCAAAGACCCGCCAGCATGGTGCCAGGGCATCTTAGACGACCAGGGAGGAAATACGTTGGCCAGCGCTGGCGGGGAAGGCGGGACCAAGAGCCAACAGAGAAGGAGTCCCACTGCGCAGGTGCATGCGGGAGCGGGTGGGGGAGCCCGCTCCCAAACCGAGGGTGTAGTTCCGGACGCCAGCCTGAGGCTGGAGCGGCCGGCAGTCGCGGAACTGACGTCATCTCCGTGCGCTGCCACGTCTCCTCAGCTCCGCGGTAATGGAGGCTGCGGATGAGTGCTGACCCGGCCGGGCTCTGCCTTTAACTTTAGCTCTGGCTCTGACTCTGGTACTGACCTGGGGCTGGGGCGGGGGCTGGCAGCCCGAAGCCTGGACACCTTTTCTCGACTTTCCGGGCGGGGACGGCCTGCAGACAACCAACTGGTTTGGAGCGCTTCAACGCAGGGAGGGAATTCTCTTGCCTGGGGTCTAGCCTGTAAAGCCGCCACCTTCTCCAAGGGATCCCGCCCCCCCGGCTGGGCCTCCTCCATGCGTGAGTATTATCGAGCCTCCTCGCTGTGTGATTGTCCCAGCCTGCTTCAGGTCTTCGGGTTGCGCCGCGGGAACCGCTTTGTCGTTTGTCCCCTTTTAGGGGCCAGCCTGTTGAAGTTTGTGGTCTCTTGTCATCCGCCTTCCCCACCTCATCCTCTCGCCTCTTCTATCCCAATTTTTTGCTCCACACTTTTATTTCCCTCGTTAATTGAGCAAGAACCAGCAGGCCCTACATCCGATGGTTTGAATGTTTTGTCTCACCTGCCGTTTTTTTAGTCTACAGCCAAAGGCTGCTAGGAATAGGGAACATCGGATCATTCTGCAGTAACACTTGAAAACCAGGGTTTTTCCCGGATGCCGTTTTTCAGGCTTTAAGTTTTGTTTAGGAAGCAGGTTTTAGCGTACATATGGGCGGACCCTCCTTTCGGCGAGGGTCTTCATCTGTTACTTGTCTTTTAAAAAAATCCCGCAGTTTCAGTAATTTCTAAATGATTTCATACCAGTTTTTCTGTAGTGGGCATCCGCTATAGCTCCTTCTGATATTTTCACTCTAATATATGGAGTTACCACTTGAGCAGTTTTACTTTTAAAAGAGTTAAAGGCCAACTGGTGTATTTTCGTCCATCTTGTCCTCACAACAACCTCTATAGGACAAGGAATACTTTTGAAGAAACAAACTCAGAGGTTAAATGCCTTAGTTACAGTCAGATAATATGTGGCACATGTAATCTCAGAGCCCAGATCCCTTGATAACAAAACCTAACATTTTGGACAGTGCTGATTCTCCTGTATCTCCAGTGGTTTACTGTGAAATATTACATATGAGTTGGAAATGCATATGTTAG